TATTTGAGAATATTAAAACAAATAATATTTGTTAAGTTATATTAAGTTTATTCATGTTAATTATATCTGTTTTCTATATTATGCATCACAAATTGCATTGAACAAAGCAAATTAAACAATTTTGTATTTTACAGTTTTTTTTGTTACAGATTGTATTAACAATTTATCAAAAAATAATGAAATATAAATTTATTAAGCCATTTTTGAAAATTAACATTTATAAATACTTGGATATAAATATATTTTTGTTTTTTGACTAAATTACAAGCTTTTGTAAAATTATATATCAGATCACAGTTTTAATTATACATGTTTCTGTATTCCCATATTTGATAATTCTGACATTAATACAGTATCTTATTAATACAGCCACCCAATTAATTACTAATTAACAATTAGTAATTTGTTTGACCAATTATCATGAAAAATATAGAATTAATTTTACTATATGTATAGTTTTAATTGCTATCATAATTAATAAAACTGTTCTAAAAGCTTATCAACAAGCTGTAAATATTTAAAATGTAATCAATATCAAGTTTTTGAACTATAGTGCATAAAATCTAAAGTCATCAAATATTTGTATTTAATAAAATATATAAACTTCTTTACTAAGAAGTAAATACAAAATTTAATCCATAAATATGATAAAATAGATCTTTTTTGAACATATTTACAGATGAAATTTTGTATTTACTTCTTAGTAAAGAAGTTTATACATTTTGTAAAATACAAATATTTGATAACTTTAGATTTTATGCATCATACACTTTTCTTTTTTGCATTTACAGATTGACTTTGATACAATTTCATATTTGTTTGCTGTTGCCGTATATATTATATACATTTCTTGATATAATATAATTATTAATTTTTGCATACACCAAAGTTTTCTCATGGCATTTATTTTATATTTAGCATTCAATATCATATATATGTGTATATATATGTCAATATATATCTTTGTATATTTTTATTATTTAATTGAACTGAATTTAAAATACACGTAGAATTTACTACACACAATACCCCCAAATATAATATACAGTTTTATACATAGTACCCACGGAATTATTCAATTTAAATATAGACCCTGCCTGGGTATCATATACAGTGCTAAACGGTATGCAAATTTAGAAATTGCTTTTTATTGATATTCGGTATGTGGGAATTTGAAGAAACAAAAATCTTAAGTAAACAAGCACCGTATTCTTCCGGTTATAAGCAGCACTTTTTGTACTCGATTTACATCCTTTTTGAAGAGCATTGCTTATAACCAGGAGGTTAAACTTAAATAACTGAATCTTGTTCAAATAATATAAGCATGTTTTAATTGAGAGGTGTTGCTTATAACCGGGTATTTGCTTCTCGTTAACCATACATTTCTGCAATTCTATGAGATAACGATAAGTACGGTTTATGTGTTTGTGTTGACATGCATAAAAAGGGTTACGTATACCGATACATTTATTTTTCCTTGCGTTCGCATAGATTTACTACATGCATTTGATTACGAATGGTGAAAGATTATGTATGTAACAAATAATGTACATAGTGACCATGTGAGCACAAACTTTAGTATTCCACTTTTTCGCGTTATAATTCCTGACAAATAACTATCTCCCTTTTTTCTTGAGAAAATGTTTTCATCTTCAACGCATAAAACTAAGAAAAGTACACTTTCCTTTTCAAAAGATGAATTCAATATTCTTGATTCCTATGTAATAATCGAAGGGCGAAAATATCATAATATTGATGGACTAGGGTACCCATTACCTTGCGACGAATCTGAAGCTTCTCGTTTGATACTTCTTCATTATATCTTTCGTTTAATTTTTGGTGGGAATTTTTCGTCTCCTATTTCTAATTTATTATCAGCAGGAGGGATGACAATTTTAGATATTGGGTAAGAATCTAATAACTATGTACATTATAGAAAACCAAAAATCTATAATAGACAAATCTTATTTTATTAGTTGCGGACCTGGAGCTTGGGTGTCAGAGAACAGCAACAACTATTCGAAATCAACATTTATTGGACTCGATATCATTCCAGATAATTTTCCTTCCGAAAAAGATCGCCTCCCTAACGCGGCTTTTATCCAGTGCAATGTGTTAGACGGCATTCCTTTTCCTGTGAATACTTTTGATTTTATTCACCAACGTTGCCTTTTACAAGCTTTTACCATAAAGGAATGGCGTAGTGTAATTGGCGAGATTTGTCGAGTTCTTAAGCGGGGAGGATGGATCGAATTTTCTGAGAAGGATTTGAAGCTAATTAACCCGGGACCGATTATGAAAAAAATATCGAATGCAAGTAAGTCAAATTATCAATTTATCGATTTCAATCATTGACGCGTATATTAAACGAATTTCGAATACTCGTAGTATTTACAGAATCTGCTGCAAATGAGATAAATCCATACGTCATACATAAGCTGAAAGAATTTTTAAAAGATACTGGGAAAATCGAAAATATTAAAATCGTCGAAAAAATAGCTCCCGTGGGGAGTTGGGGAGGCAAAATTGGAGAACTGGTAATAGAAAATTCATTTGATCATGATTATTTTTATAAGGCACTAATCATTTTGCGGTTCCAATTTTAGATTTTTAAAAATACGCTTAGCTCTTTAAATGGATTATGCGGAAAAATAGCCCCAATTTTGAATATACCCATGGAAGATTATAATTCTTTATTAAATCAGCTTGAGGAGGACGTAAATAAACATCAAACCAGTTACAGAATAGTGCGGATTTTTGGACAGAAGGCTTTCTGACACTTTCTTGGATTTATAAGTATCGATTATAACAAGATCCGATTAGATAATCAGCTTTAAATCAGATGTTATAGCGATGTATCAGTATTTAAAATTTATAAACGAAACATTATTTCCATACTGAAATGTGTGTAAGTGGTAAACATAAAATTTCGGTTTTCCGCAAAAAAATCGTGTAAGGATGTATTTTTATTTTATAGACAACATTCGTTACTTTTATATTTACACAAATACAGTGAGCGCTCGTTAAAGTAACACCATTCTCGTTATAATAACACAAAATCTCTTCCCCCGATCCCATTACTGTAATAAGCTTTCATAGTATTTATTTTTCGATAGAGTGATATCTCGATATAATAACACCAAATCTCTTCCCCAGATCACGTTATTGTATCCAGCGCCCAATGTACATGATGAATATTATTATAATTCTTTTATTATCGTTATTCGTTGATATAAAATTATTTTGAAATATGGATTGAATTACTAGTAGTTGTCATTATCCTTAGCAATATTAGATGTCATATTAGTAGAAGATGTTGCCGGTCTCGTATAATCACTCAGATCAGAACCAGCACTCTCAACGCTCTCAACATTCTCAGAACTCTTTCTGCGTAAACCCTTGTCACGTAAATACGTCAATGGCGTAACATCAAAAAAGTAATTAGTCAACAAGGCTTCCAACTCTTGTATTCGATTTTCGCATCGTACAATTCGCTCTGGATCGGGGAGAAATTGATTTTTTGCAAATGAGGTTATTAGAGGGAGATCGTTTGTAGCTACAATTTCATCGACTTCAGATCGTGCTACGCGGTGCACTATTCCGAGTGGCCGGAATTTACGGTCTCCAAATAATAGGATAAGTATTGTACAGACAGCGCCTGTTTGTGAAATAATTAATATAAATGATTTTATTTTTTAACAGTTAATATATTTATATATTTACTTTACTCACTAAACGCTCCTCCAGCCAGACCCAAAACACCCAGCAATGTTCTTACACTAAAAATAGAAATCTATTCAATATAAATAAAAATCACACTAAACTCCAAAAAGATTATAACACACCGTTTTTCTGATTGAACACGATTCAAATAGCTCCCTGGTCTTACACAGAAATGCCCGGATTCCGTTGACTCAGTGAAATTTGGATTGAGATGTAGTGGGAAATACTGAGCGGTCGAGGTTAATATAGTTATATTTTCATAGTTTGGTTTAAAACCTATTCTGCTAGCGAAATCACTGTCGAGTATTTCACGATATGTGTTTCTTCTAAATCGAACACTCGTCGAGTAGTTTGCGATTCCGGCAAAATTATTCTCTTGAAGAGTTATTTCTTCGGCCATACCGTTAGCCTAATATAAAGAAAAAATAATTAATTTACGTCATAATATTGTCTCATATTGGTTGTCATTAAATGACATACCATTTTAGACTTTGTCTTCTTTTTCCAAAGAATGTTGCTATCCGGATCAAGTATTTGCACAGCTAAAATTAAAAATATCGAATTTAGATTTTTCGAAAAGAACTCATCACATATTACCAAATACGTACCAATAGTTGGCACAGAAATAGACAAAGCTTCAGCACCCGTAAAATTCAAAATTTTGAAATAGAATTCTATTTGGAAAATTTTTTTATCTTTAGATGTTGCATTTTTACTCGTAAACCAAAGGGTTTTGTTGCCAGTGAACAAATAGCAATAATTAATATTCTTTGGGTTGTTTAGAGAACTGGGGTACACGTATAGAAATCCCTCATTACTACAATTGACTAGGTTGATTGATGTCCAATCGGTAAAAGTAAAGGCACATTTAGTAATTCGTAGGTCACTTCCATATCCACAAATTTCTATGTCTACGTATTTAAATTTGATGAGCAAGTTTTAGTCAATAGCGATAGAAAGAATTGTGTCATTGAACTATATCGAAGAATATCCTGACCTGGTACTTCTATTTTTGTCATTCTTTCGGCTGATAACTCGATTGTTGGGTTGTCGGTAGCAACTTGATAGAATAAATAAGCTACATAGGTTATATATGTCATTATAGCTATTGAAATGGTCAGTAGTCGTATACTATGAAACCAAGTTGGCTCTCGCAACTACAAAATAAGTTAAATTTCTATGATTTGTTCTTTAGTAAATAAGACGATTAAATTTGGTCACCTTTATTTGCCTAAATACTTGACGATAAAACATTGTCAAATTAATAAATTCCAAGAAAGAATTGAATGAATGCTAGCTCAAATTTATCTTTTGCGTATGTGGCTTTTTTGTTATCAGCTACGTATAAGCCGCATCAGTAGCCACAATAAATTGCGAGATTTTCGATTGTGTTGTTTTTCGACGAGTAAGGCACATAATTGTCTCCTAAATATTACCGTTACCGTTACGATTTCTTTTGTTTTTAACTTATTTAGGCTAAAAATTTTCAATTTTGACAAAATTATCGTTATCATTATCGTTATGTACGTAGTGGACGATTGTTATACATGTACAAGGAAATAAATATTTTTCTCGTGCTGATAAAAAATGCAACACAATAATAAATAAATAATTAAATGATGATTTGATAGTTTTACTAAATAAGAAAAAATTACTTTTGATTGATGATATAAAATCTCCAAATATAAATTTACTCTTGGAAGAAAAAAACATAAAAAATGGTTTCCTTTTTTAATTCGTATATTATTCCTAAAACATCAATACCAGCATTTTCATCATCGCGACAAATCACGCAAGTTAGAAGAACCACGCCCGTAACTTCCACCTCTTCTTCCACACTCTCTACGTCTACGTCTTTGTCGTCATTATCACCGTCATCGATCGCCGCCGCTACTCGAATCAATAACGGGAGTAACACTAACATTATGAATATCAATCCACAATTATCATTGACGGAAATAATGTGGGAAATTGTTGGAATATCGGAATCGGCTTTTTCATCGATTCACAGAATTCTTTACTACCATCCAGTTCTGTACTCGGCCATTATTCTTGCTTCGTTTATCACGCTACCTATCTGGGTAGTAATCGTAATCCCGATTGTGGGAATTTTTGGAGTGGGCGTATTTATCTTGGTTGCGACTTGGTCTTTTATTCTCTTTTATATTATTACGAAGGTCATTAGTGAGCTATCTATGAAAAATAAATTAATGTAGTTAAATATTATCTTTTCTTTTAAAATTTTGATAGAATAATAAATATAATAAAGTGAAAGTTTTTGATTTTGCATGATGCGTTGCGTAACAAAGTTTATTCACGACTTATGTAAGGAGCGCCAAATATCAGGTGATTCTTTGGGTGGGTTGTTATCGATCATCAGGTTACACAAGATTATGATATATTATGACTCATCTTGATCAGGTGTGAGGTAGGTAAGGTTTCTCTAATAAATAAAAATCACCTGATATTTGGCCTCCCCTAATCATTGGGAGAAATTAAAAAGTTGCTTATTATTTTCATACTCAGCACGTCAATCTCGGGCCATCTCGAGGATTTGTTTTTTTTTGCGCGAGCTTCTCGATGGCTTCACGTCTTATTCGTGTTCCCTCAAGTGTGTCATTGAAACGAGGGACTGTGATTTTGTGTAACTTGGAGTCTACGCATTTCTCACTTATCTTGTTGATACCGTAGTCCGTTCCACTAAACACCCCTTGTCTTTTTTTTCTTCGGCAATTAGTGAGATGACCGAATATTAGGTAGAGTCTTTAGTGATAAAGTTTGACTAGGTTGAAGTGGCACCTTTGATTTGTACATGATCTTTTGTTCCCCCTCTCCTTTTCCTTAGATTTGACTCCCCTGATAACATTCTTCCAGTAGTAGGAGCATTTTGTAAATTCTGATGTCCTTTCTGCTTATCTGTACCATTGGTTTTGGGTCTGAATTCAAGAAGTTTACGCCGAAGGCATGCAAGGGATTAAATTTATTTTTAATCTGTAAGCTGTTTTCGTTCTTTCTTTGATCTCTTTGTCTAAATTTAACAGTCTCAGTGGCTTTTTAAGCTTTTTCTGCTTCTTTGACAACTTGATTTTGGTTTTGCATGTGCTTCATCCAATTTAGGAAATGATTATGGAAGAGGAGTTTCCTTTGAGCATTATACTGCAGAAGGAGCCGTGTAGGATGACTTTTCCAGTAATATGGGCTGTGTACATATCAATGGAATATAAGTATGATAAGATTTAGCTTTTTTACAAGAAATTAATAAGTTTAGATTTTACAAGGAGATTTAAAAATCAGATCAAATAAGAATAAATGGAGAACAGATAGATATTCGAGTACAGAATAAAACAAAGAATTTGTGATTTTGTTAAAATTTCTCTTGGCGAAACATCGATTTCTTACAAAATTTATATTTCGGTTACATGTACATGTATAATGAAATGAATATTGTTGTGTGATTACGGGCGATACAGACAATCGCGTTGATCCAAGGAAATTAAGAATTTATTTTTATCCTTGACACTGTCCAAATTTAATTTAATGATTCTTATAGCAAACCAGTACTTGAATATACTAATTAAATTTCGAACAATTTTATCAAAATTTTTGTCTTGATTGTACAAATCTAAGAAGAATGCAACAATTCAATAGCATATACATGTATTGTGCGATTTGTGTAATGGCAAAAAATATTGTCTTTTGTTCTGATTTTTCCATTAATAGAAACTTGCACGAGAATTTTTCGTGTAATGGTAATGGATCATCGAGAAACTACGTACGAACTGTATTTATCATAAATAAAAAAAACTACCACGTAGTTTATTAATATTATTTGTATTAAGCAACAATTTATTTTTCATATAAACAATATGTTTATTGACGCTCTTCATTGTACACCATCACGAACTTACTTAATATATTCTATTTCCCAGTGCTTGAACAAATTTGGATTTCTTTAAAAAAAGTCAAGGCTTGTTAATTATTAACCATATTTCATTTAGGATATAATCTGGTTTGCTCATTATAAAGACAATGAAACTATCAAGTAGTAAATTTCAAAGTAAAAGTCGAGTTGGATAAATATTCGGAAGTCTGTGAACTATTATTACAAATATAATGTCCTATAACATTTAATAATAATGAATATATAACCGAAAATAAGAAAGCATTTGTTGGGGTCCTCTTCTAACAATCCAAAACGAGGAGATTCTTATCTTCGAGACTTTTAAATTTGGGGTATGAATGTCTTATTCAATCAAAATATATACAATAAAATAAGATTTTATTCTATAATAAAAATTTTCATTCTGAGTTAAGCATCGAGTATCTTACTTTAATATGGTCATAGAAGTAACAAAGGCTCCATAGAACGATAGTTAAAATGAGTCATAGAATTATTCCTGCACAAAATTAAAATCGGTGTTAACTTAGCCAATTGTACCTTGGCATATACATGTAATTAGGAATGTTAAACAGTTATAATTGGTCTCAAAAAAATTGCCAATGTTTGAGATGACTTTTTCTTTGATTAAATTGATTTGCAGGGGATTACTAAATCGTTGGGACCAATTGACATCCCTCAGTATAATGATTCCGAAAAATTGCTGATCAATCTGAGTAGCTACGTGTCAAACATAGGACTTTGTTGTTTTAATCAACACACGCATTTTCAAACAAAAGCAAAAAATCTATTTTGACTCACAGTGTGTAACTAAAAAGTATAGTGGCACCTCGCATATTCCTAATCTTTAATAATTAATTATGTATTAAACTTTGGATTTAACGTGATATTAAATATTGCTAATATATTAAAAATCCATACTGTTGTAATGAGTGGTGGCTGTAATATATATATATCAATCGGTGCATAAATGAACAAATGAAACTGTATAAAACTCTCCCGCTTCTTTCTGGGTTCGTTATTTCCTTGAACTAAACTTCATAGAAACTTTTAACAACAAATTACGTATTCCCTTATAACAACAATCAAATTATCATTTCAACAAAACCCAGAAAAAATGATATCTCTAAAGAACACAACGAAAGCAAAACGACGAGCAGAGACGATACTTAAAATAATATTTATATTGTTAATGATTAGTCTAGTATCATTATTAAAATACCCAAAAATTCAGAAAATAGTCAATCAAAAAGACCCACTAGTCAACATAAAAATAGATGATAGATCTAATACTGGTATAAACATCCCAAACATGTTTGTC